CTTATGTTTCACAGCCGGAACTGACAGCAGCTAGGCAAGCATAGGGTGTAGTCTCCTGTTTCATTCACACAGTGTGGTACTCATTATCAAACTTGGGAGGAAGAAAAAGGGCGAGTGACGCCGACCGGGACTCAAATTCCGGTCTGTCGGTTCTGACAATGATGGTCTACCGACAGAACAACTTTGATCTGAAGCAACTTGTAGTAAGTTCCTTACTTAAGGGAGTTCGTGGTTAAGACAGTGGTTGCCCTCAGCTGCAGTCGAACCCAACACTCCAGAATTCGCAACCGACTTCTGAGGCATTGAACCCGGCCACTATTTGTATTTAAACAACAAACTGACTATTTTCAGTGACTCAGTTTTCAAAGAAAACCGGTGATTATGCCAGTCTTTCGGCGACTGACTTGAAGGTTATCGCCGCGACGTATATGTTACAAGCTGAGCACTATGGAACCGAGCAGCTGAAGGCAGAGCCAGAGGTTCGCACTATTTGTCAGTTTACTCATTCTGACTCTGATGCTAACTTGCCTCCCGGATTTTACTATCCAAAGAGGGTATTCCTTAAAACTGACTTTGATCATTCTTTGTATTTTATATATGTTTAGAAATCGAAGAGTGGACATTTAACTGAAAATGCACAGAACGACGTCTTGGAACGTTTCCAAAACTTAGATTTTGAACATGGCGTCACACAAAGCCTCAAGAAAGACGTTGAAGCTGACGAATCGACAAGTATCCCAGACAGTCATCTAGCCTTTGCTTCCAATGATTCTGACTGGGAAGACGTAAGCCACTCATCTTCGGAAGACGATGATGGTGGCATAAGCGATTTTGAAGACACAAGCGGATGGATCACCCCGGAAAACTTCGACCATCCTTCCAAAGTCGGCGTCGATAGTCTGAAAGCATGCGATGACGACGGCGTGCACGTGGCTTGCTTGACAACCGACTTCTCTGTTCAGAACGTTCTAATTCACATGGGCCTCAAAGTTGTATCCGTCGATGGTCTTCTTATTCGGCGGTTAAACACCTATATCCTTCGGTGTTACAGCTGTTTCGCGTAAGTTTCTTTCAGATATTTGATAACATCCTGTTTATAAATCGAATCGTGTTAAATAGTTTGTCAGTGTTTAAAAAAGTATACATTTCACCTCAAGGAGTGTAGAAAACTCACCGAATGCTAGTTGTGTATCATACACTGAGAATGCAGCAAGAAACAGTTTATTTAATGCAACGTGGTGTAGTGGTCTGTCAGCGTGATTAAATGCCACCGACGTGTTGGTCTGCGGCATATCAATAGACCCATCGGCTCAAAGAAGCTAAAATAACATGAACTATATATATGTGAGTCTAGATAATGGGCCGTCGTTTATCAGTCTGATAAACCAGTTGTGATATGTTGTAATAAATATATTCTGTACTTTCTGTATATGCTGTATTTTCAGCATGACTGACAGTGTGCAGAATTTGAATCACCTGAATTTTTACAATATGCGCAGCGAGGAGCGCTCGGTGATAGTGTTAATTTTAGCCCAGCGTAGATTAACAATTTTCTCTAGCACGGCTTCATTGTTTAGAACCACGAGTAAAGTTACGAAAAAGTTTTGCCCTAACTGCGGTAACGACACGCTGAAGAAACTGTCCATCACAGTCAATCCGGATGGCAGTACAATTTATCACTTGTCTCGGCGAAAGATCATAACCACAAAAGGAACTAATGTACGTAGTTCGTACGCAGTGTTTGTTTATGGTAATAAAATATACCAGTGACTGGCTTTAGCGCTCATTGCCGCGACCCAGAGGTGGCAAACACAGCAATAATCCAATTTTGTGCGAAGATCAGCCGGTTCCTCAAAACAGACTGAGTAAAAAGGCGATGAAAAAACTTAACGCTCTCGACCCAGATTACATAGCTGGCGATTCCCCGTTCAAGTTCAATGATGTGACAAGCAGGTATGCGAGGCGTGCTCTTTTACGCGCTTTTACGATGTGCTTGTTTTTAGGTCAGCCGTGTTGGGAGTACGCCACCTCAACGGAAGTTACCGTCATCAGAACCGTGGCAAAAGAGGTGGAAAGCGTAGATAGATATGTTTGCAGCGTCGATGACGGATTTGTTTTCAGTGGTTTATGCTCCGTTGCAATCCGTTGACGGAAAAGTCTGCATTCTATTATGTTTCTTGTTTGGTACTAATACTGTTGACGAAGGGTTGCTTACTTTTTTGAACTTTTAGAGCTTCGTTTTTTCTGTTCCTTTGTTGATAACAAGCGAAGTGACTTAAAACGGAGTTTCCCATGATTTAATCAGCCCGTGACAGAAATCTACGCGACCAACCCATGACAGAAATCTACGGCTCCATGGTATTTAAACGCCTGCAGTACATAAGGCAAACTCAAGCTGGACGAGGACGACATCTTTGTTTTTCTAGATCTTGATTATCTTGTCGGTCCCTGCTGATGTCCAGCGCAGAGCGTCTCTTAACCTCGTTTGCCACTCATTCGTTTGCAGCCACTCTTATTATACAGATGTTCAAGTACACTTTCTACGATTTTATTGTCAATGGTCAGACAGTCGCTGGCATCGACTGTACCAATTTTTGCCCACTCCGCCCCTTTGAGCTAATTGCATGACTAAAATTGTCAAAGCTAGTTATAGTGATGTCGCATGGTCAAAGTAGTTTGCAAGCAGTAGGATATCATTCGCAAGTACAAAATGGTTTGCGCAGATGTTGCTCACTCTTGCAGCCGTAGATTTACTCCTTGGTATTTGCTGGAGCACCCAGTCAAGATACATCGCAGACAACAGTAGAAATTCCACTGGTCCTTTCATTTCTTCGAACTTTCTGGAAAAGAGCTATGATACCACATGTTCGACGTTTTTTACTAGTAATGCAATATCATCTACAAATACAACTGAGTTTACGCAAGGGTCATTTGCTCTCGTCGCAGCCGTAGCTTCACTCCTTCGTTTAATTTTAATGCGCATTCAAGGCAAATAACAGATGAGATACAACTACTCCATGCATCATTCCAAACTCTATGCGAAAGAATTTGACGAAGTTGCCATAACTTTACACTGCTCACGTTTTTTTTAATTATGCGAATAATCTTTGATAGAGTTGATATTGCTCACCCATTTTCTACAAGGAATTCATCTTGATTGATTCAGACGCTTAGGTGAAAGGCTTTGCACTAGCGGTATTATCATGAGTATCTGGTATGAACATCCTCTGCCTCCTGATTATGAACTGCTTTTTACCCAAAGCCTATTCGAGATGTTGCCTAATTCTGTTCACCGTAGCAGGCATGGTAATTTGGCAAAAACGGGTAGGAGGCTAATTCGAAAACAGTTATTCGGATCCGTGCAATAGCGTTTCACAAATGTTGGAATCACAAGACCGTTCTGCTAGTCATTGAGTAATTTTAATTTCTACCATGCAAATCAAAAGAAATTCACTGATGTTAGCCGTTATCTGTTCCGGACTCCTTAATTATCTCTGCCGCAAATTTTTTATTTCTTATTTGGCATAAGACTTCAAACCAACATAGGCGGCGTTGCTTCCAGGAATCACAGATGATAAGATACAATGGAGAACCGTGGCCTATTTGATCGTTTGCCTTACATCGACAAGCAGCCTAACAAATGAGTAATGTAATTTCGTGATTCCGAAGAAGGGATCGGAAAATTAGATTTCACTGAAAAATCAAGTTTTAACATTTCAAACGATTATAATATTACCTGAGCTTCAGAGTAAACTGAAAATTAAAAAAATTTGGCATATCATCTAAGTTGTTGCCGAAAAGTAAGATGGTATTGTGCAAAGAAACGTTAATATATGTAGGCAATAGTATTGGTGACATAGTTAAGGCATCGAGACTGAAACGCTTGTCAAAAACCGCTATACAACGATGTCATATGGTAAGCACAAAGCAAAAATTCCTTCACTGAATTCGGATCGCAGAAGATCAGAAATCCAGGTGCAATTTTCCATGTATCGTTAGGCAGAAGCGGATAAAACTCGGTTATTTTGTTTTGATTTTTATTACGTAAGAAATGCAACTTCGACCTGAATAACTGAACATTAAAACATATAGACGAAGTTTGAATCGTGGAACCAATTCGGTGATGCGGTGTTTGCATGCTGTGCACTGCAGGCGGTAGACTCTTTGAAAAATACCATGGAGCCTTGACCTATTCGAATGATCTCAATAAGCGATTAGAAGCAAAGGGGCGGCACAACGTTGTGACCCAACCCTGTCAAAATGACCGTCATCCGTCTTAGTGTCCCTCAATATCGCTGACAGGTAAGTTTTCAGAGTTTGCGCCTTGAAAATCCGGTAGCCCTAGTCATAAGAGAGTTTGCAAATTTTCTTTCACGATTCACTGCTACGTGCTGAAACTTTAAAACGTTAATCGACGCCTTTACGCAGCTCGTTGGGTCTCGCCGTGTTTTTTAGTAGGTAGATTTTCTGAGACGAAAAACATTCTTTCCATGGCTAGCTCTATCGAAAAAAAATAATTAACACACCGTTAGCTCCACTTGTTACAAATTGTTTCCTTCGTGTTCTGTTAAATGCACTGATTTTGTCTAATGTTTCTTTCCTAAATATGTTCTTCCTGTCCTTGCGACAGCTTAATTCTCTACATTCAGTAATCTGCGCGAATTTTTCTGATACTGACTAGTTGATTCCTATTCCAAAACAAACAGCTGTTTTTTGTTAACGCATGTAATCAACTCTAAGTCAATATAATCGCGTTGTAATTGTTTCCCCGTATTCTTTTTTACGCATGGGAATTTAAAGATACTTCCGGCATACTGGATCAAAGAGAACGTATGGGATTCCGGTAGTAGTTCACAATGAGTAATTTATAATGTTTCAGCATCGCATCATTTTAAGGCATTAGCAAAATCAATATTTAAAAGAGAAAGTTGCAAACAGCAGTTACTGATGTAGCGCGCAATGGCTATACAGAGGATTGCAATAAGAAGTCAAATTAAACTATACTTCTGATTTTTGATTTGTGGTCCATAGTTACATAGATATGTTGAACGCTTCATGGTTCAGGACACCAAACACAGCAGATGCTACAGCACCTTAGACAAAATATATAATTCCGAAGTTTCTGCGGATCTTTCGATACCATCACTGAAGATATCACACTAAAAGTAATGATTCCAGATTGAAACGGCGAAACAGCTGTGTGAAGAAAGAAAAATCCATTTTTTACGTTATACCGGCAGCACTATTGCACCCCCGTTGCTTTTAGACACCTAGGGGTCCATTTAAGCAGGCCACAGCTCCATAGTTTTTAATCGTCTGCAGTGCATAGGACGCAGGGCCACTTCACACACGAATTGAATAAAAGAATATTCAACCAAGATTGTCACGATCTGCTTTAAAACGATAGACAAAACATATAGCTCGATGTTTTTGGGGACATTTCGATACCGCCGCTGAAGATATCACTCTATGAGCAATGATACCGGATTGAAGCGTGTACCAGTTTCATATCATTAGGAACATCAGGATGAATGAGCACCTTTCTGCCGTACTTTCCGCCTTGAACAAGCTGACAATTTCGGTATTGCCCAAAATGCGATCACTGAAAGACGTTCTTTCAGTCAGACCATTGTGCCCATTACGGTCAAAGACTAATACAAATTAGGTCTGCTAATAAAGGAGTCCTTGCATAGTGGCAATGAGTGCTATAGTGGCAAATGCTATAATGGCAATGAAAACCTGCCGTAGTGGCAATGAAAAACCGGATGTGCATTGCGTACACATCTGCTGTGGTTATTAACTAAATCTGAGGGACGATTGCAAAATTGATCAGATTGTTTTAATGTGAACCTCACACTGGTTTGATAGTTAACATTCTGGCCGACAGCTTGACAACATTTTGATGGCAACATATTGTTCGCATGTTGGACATGTGCCGGCAAGCAGTCATATACAATGATGATGGTACGGTCCATGTGGCGAAGCGCGTCGGCAATAAGCTGTTGTATCAACTGCAATGTTTGGTGCCTTGAACCAGGAGCTGTTCAACTTATCTAGCCGAAGTCAGATTTTTTCTAAAATTCGTAAACGATCCAGTTCTGAAATTGAGGCAGAAACTTTTTCTGAAATTGAATCACTGTTTTGAGGTACAAAAATGGGACGGATAGATCTACTGATATAGACGTTTCGAACAAACCACCGTACTGAGCATCACGGCACTAAATGAGCCCCGGTCTAATCTATAAGAATAACGTTTAAATTATGCGTTTAAAACGGACTTTACGATTCTTAAAATCAACTGAATAAAATGGGAGAGATTAAGCCATACGGCGTACTCAACTTTATGGCTTTGATGTCTGAAGACATGTAACATCCGTTGCATACTTGGATTTGCTCAGCTGAAATATGCCAAGATTTTTTAATTAAAAATTTATTTCTATTTTCATCCTTATCAATGATGTGGCCACTTTGATGGCATTAAATGCATGATTCTGACAAAGGCAGGCTCGTGTCGCTGAGTGAATAGCATGGTTGTTTGCAAGTGCTGCGGCAAGTTCCATAGCCTCAGTTTAGAACCACTGAATGTCTTCTACATAAATGAGTTATTGCCAAAATAATATATTTTTATACGCTGTTGTTTGCCTCTTCTAGAGGGCGAGGCTGACATCTTTATACAAGAAGGAGCATCACTTATCCTGAAAAAGACATTAAGCTCCTTCCCTGAAAAAAAGCGATGGATTCCCGGAATAAACGGAGGTTTCACGACATGTTTTTATCCAACATTGTTTTGTACACCATACTTTTGATGGATGACTACACAGTCAATGTCTGCATGCTATAACGTTATGTTTTTCTGAATGAGGAACGCAAGAACTACACCTCATTGTTAAGCAGCATTCTTTCACTACAGTACTTCATAGTTCTAAATCTGTTGCATTTCAAGGGTTTAATAGAACCGGAACGTGCTATAAATAGTTGCCGGTTGGATCGCTATGAACCAGTGTGCTCAAGCAGCGTTGGAGAGATTACCCAAAAGGCTCTAAAGTAAGCAAAGCCATTAGTCCGTGCAATTTTTCCTCTGACTT